AGGCAGGGGCTGCTGGCGCACTCGTCCGTGTTGATCTCGCAGTAAACCCCCTCGTAACCTGCGGAGAGACCCGGCGCACCGTCAGCACCACGGCACGGGGCCGGCACAACGCTCAGGACGGGCAGGTTACACCAGGGCACATTTGGTCCCCCCGTCTTTACAAAGGCAGCTCAGGAGCTGTGCTACAGGTGGTGGGACCTGATGCACAAGCTGCTCCGTGGATGTCCACCCCAGATCTCCCTGCCCTGGGCTTTATCCAAGCCAGCAAGGTCGGGAAGAGGAGGAGTCCAGAGCAGGGCTGATGGTGCCCAACTCTCACCTCCCGTCCCCCCACCGCTGCAGGAGATGGCAGCTCTTTCTTTTCGGTGCTGTCCCCAGGCACACATGCCTCCCGTGGATCCTCACCCAAACCAACACCGAGCTGAAGCTCAGGGGCATCCGGAGCCCTCCCGCCGCCCGCACCCAGCACCGGGGTAGGGGTCTGCAGGGCCGCCCACCCACCGGGCATGCAGATGCACTGGAACTCCCCAATCTGGTCCAGGCAGGTGGCATCGTTCTGGCAGGGGTTGGAGAGGCACTCATTGACATCGATCTCGCAGCGAGGGCCCGAGTAGCCCTGCAGGCACTGGCACTGGAAGGACCCCTGGGTGTTGATGCATTTCCCTGCGTGCTCGCAAGGGTTGGCTCCTGCAACACACAAGCGCAGTTCACAGGACACGCTCCCGGCTGCACGCGAGCTCCTGGCTGCACCGGCGCTTTCCCCAGCTGCTCCTTGGCCGCCCGTGCGAGCTCAGCCCTGGTGCTCACCCAGCGAGCACTCGTCCACGTCCTGGTTGCAGGCCGGCCCCATGTACCCCGAAGGACACGTGCAGATGGCTTTGCCGTTGACGGGGTTGGTGTCGCAGTTGGAGCCCTCGTTGCAGGGGTTGCTGATGCAGGCATCATCGAGGTGGCACAACAAACCTGCGCAGCAAAAGGCAGGCGCACATCAAGGGTGATGGGCACACAAGTCATCATGCACCAAGACCTCAGCTAGGAGCCGGGGGACATGCGGGGAACTGCCACCCTGCACTGCGAGCAGGGGGCAAGATGGGACGGGGCCTCACCTGTGCGGCCATGGGGGCACTC